CATCCCTCTCTCCATCCCTCTCCCCATCCCTATCTCTGTCTCCATCCTTTTCCTCATCCCTGTCCCCATTTTCTGGTCCCCATCCCTATTTCTGTCCCCATCCCTGTCCCCATCCTGGTCCCTATTCCAGTCCCCATCCCTATTTCTGTCCCTATCCCTGTCCCCATCCCTGTCCCCATTCTGGTCCCCATCCCTATTTCCGTCCCCATCCCCGTCCAAATCCCTGGAATCCCTGTCCCCATCCCCCCCTCCTCCCCCCCTCCCGGCCCCCTCCCTGTCCCCGTGTCCCCCCCCGGTGTCACCGCGCGGGGCGGAAGCCGCGGTGTCACATCTCCGGGGGTGACTGGAGGGCCAGGAGGCTGCGGGGACACAGCGGCGCTTTGGGGACAAGGACAGCGCGGGGACAGGGGGACGCGGCCCCTCCGAGGGGGGGCTGGGGCGGGATGTGGGGGCTCGGGGTCCTCATCCCCCTCCTCGGCGGTGAGTGGGGGACACGGGGGACACGGGGGACACGGGGGACACTGTGACTGGGCCGGGGGAGGGGGACAGGCCACCCGCGGGGCACTGGGGCAGGGGGGCTGCTGGGGACATCTGTCCTGAGGGTTGGGGACACTGCGTGGGGACAGGTTGGGTGGACAGGGGTGGAGGGGGAGACAGGGCAGGGATGGACGGGGGGGACACGGGGAGGGGACAGGGTGGGGTCAGACAGGGTGAGGGGGGACAGGGAGGGGACAGAGATGGGGGACAGGGAAGGGACAGAGATGGGGGGACAGGGAGGGGTAGGGATGGGGGACAGGAAAGGGGACAGAGGTGGGGGACAGGAAAGGGACAGAGGTGGGGGACAGGGAAGGGATAGAGGTGGAGGGACAGGGAGGGGACAGAGATGGGGGGACAAGGAGGGGACAGAGGTGGGGGACAGGGAAGGGACAGAGGTGGGGACAGAGAGAGGACAGAGATGGGGGGACAGGAAGGGGACAGAGGTGGAGGGACAGGGAGGGACAGAGATGGGGGACAGGAAGGGGACAGAGGTGGGAGACAGGAAGGGCACAGGGTGTGTGGTGACAGGATGGGGCGCGCGGTCAGAGGCAGCGGTGACAGGGGACACGTGGGCAGCGAGCCTGGCACCCCCTGTCCCCTGCACCCCGTGGGGGACCCGGGGTGGGCTGGGGGGTGACAGCCCCCCGCGACCCCCGCGCTGTCCCCACAGCGGGCGCCCTGCGGGTGCTGCAGAGCCCGGGGGAGGCGCGGGTGACAGCGGGTGGCACGGTGGCCCTGGGCTGCCGGGTGGAGGTGGCCAGGCGCCCGTACCAGCTGCGGATGGAGTGGGTGAGGGCCGGGGGGCGCGGGGCGCTCTGTGCCACCCGCCTGGGCACCCTCGGCCCCGCGCCCCCCGCCCTCTGTGCACCCCCCCTCCGCCTGGCCTGGCAGCCCCCCCGGGCCACCCTGAGCCTGCCCCGGGTGTGGGACAACGACAGCGGGCGCTACCTGTGCCGGGTGACCCTGGAGATCCCCCGCTATGCCACGGCCACCGGCGCGGGCACCGTCATCATCGTCACCAACGTCACCGATGTCACCAACGTCACCGATGTCACCGGCACCGGGCACGACGGCACCGCCGGTACCGCCGGGACCCCCCAACCCTGCCACGGGGGGCTTGGGGGGCCAATGGGACACCCCACTGGGGACGGGGGCAGGGAGGGGGGCACGGGGAGGTGGCTTCACCGAGGGGCTTGAGGGGATCGTTGTGGGGTTGGTGGGGTCACCGAGGGGTTGGTGGGGTCACTGGAAGGTGGCACCGCTGAGGGGGTTGAAGGGGTCCCTGGGGGGGTGGTATCGTTTTGGGGGTTGATGGGGTCACTGAGCAGTTGATGGGATCACTGGGGGGGTTGGTGAGGTGACTGAAGGGGTTGATGGGGTGACTGGGAGGTGGCATCACTGAGGGGGTTGATGGGGTCCCTGAGGGGCTGATGGGGTCACCTAAGAGTTGATGGGGTCCGTGAAGGGTTTGATGGGGTCCCTGGAGGGGTGGCATCACTGGGGGGGTTGATGGAGTCACTGAGCAGCTGATGGGGTCACTGGGGGGGTTAATGGGGTCACTGAGGAGTTGATGGGGTCCCTGAAGGGCTTGATGGGGTCCCTGTGAGATGGTATCACTGGAGGTGGTTGATGGGGTCACTGAGGGGTTTTGATGGGGTCACCAAGGGGATTGATGGGGTCCCTGAAGGGATTGATGGGGTCACTGAGGGGTTGGTGGGGTCACTGAGGGGTCAGTGGGTCTCTGAGGGGTCGGTGGGGTCCCTGAAGGGATTGGTGGGGTCTCTGAGGGGTCGGTGGGGTCCCTGAAGGGATTGGTGGGGTCTCTGAGGGGTCGGTGGGGTCTCTGAGGGGTTGGTGGGGTCCCTGAAGGGATTGGTGGGGTCTCTGAGGGGTTGGTGGGGTCCTCTGCAGGAGATGCCTGGTGGGTTTGGGATGGGCACAGTGCAGGAGGGACAGGGACAAGGATGGGGACAGGGATGGGGACAGGGCCACCCCTGACTGCTCTCCCCTCCCAGCAGCAGCTGCTGGGGGCAATGGGGCAGGTCTGTGTGTCCCCTCTGTCCCCACTGTCCCTACTGTCCCCTCCAGCCCCTGTCCGGGTGCCAGTGGTGGCAGGGGGTGACCCTGCTGGGTGTGTGTTCACAGGGGTGCTGTGGGGGGTGCTGGGGGGCCTGGGGGGCACAGCCCTCCTGGGGACAGCCCTCCTCGGCTACTACTGCTGTCACAGGAGCTCAGGTAACCCCAGCCCCAAATACCCGCTCCCAAATACCCCATCACCAACTACCCCATCCCCAATTACCCCATTCCCAAACCTCCCAGTCCCCAAATACCCTATCCCCAAACATCCCAGTCCCCAAATACCCCCTCCCCCAATATCCCTTCCCCAAATACCCCATCCCCAAATACCCCATCCCCAAACCTCCCAGTCCCCAAATACCCTGACCCCAAATATCCCTGGCCCCAAATACCCTGACCCCAAATATCCCTGGCCCCAAATACCTTTGCCCCAAATACCTCATCCCTCTATAATCCATCCCCAAATACCCCATCCTCAAATCTCCCAGTCCCCAAATATCCCATCCCCAAATCTCCCAGTACCCAAATACCCTGCCCCCAAATATCCCTGTCCCCAAATACCTCCTCCCCAAATACCCCAGCCTCAAATACACCAGCTCCAAATACTCCAACCCCAAATACAATCCCCAAATACCCCCTCCTCCAAATTTCCCAACCCCAAATACCCCAATCTCAATGCCTCCTCCCCAAATACCCCATTCCCAAATACCCCATCCCCAAACCTCCCACTCCCCAAATACCCTGGCCCCAAATATCCCCGGCCCCAAATACCCCAAGCCCAGATACCCCAACCCCAAATACCCCTTCCCCAACACCCTGTCCCTAAGTCCCAAATGCTGTCCCCAAATATCCCATTCCCAAATACTCCGTCCCCAAAGCCCCCAACCCCAAATCCCCCACCCCCCTTTACCCCCTGGCCCCAGCCCCTCCTCCCTCCTGCCCAAACACCCCCAAAAAACTCGTGTGCCTCCCCCACCTCCCCCGGGGGTCCCCCGGTGCCACCCCCCGTGCCCCTCCCTGGGGGACAGGAGTGGCCACACCCCAAACCACGCCCCGCCCCCCAGACACGCCCATCTACCAGAACGTGGTGCCCCCCCCGCCGCGGGACCCCAAAAAGCTACCCCGGCCCCCCGCCGCGGTGGCCACGGACAACCTGTACCAGGGGGTGCCGTGGTGGGCACGGGGCCCCCCCGCTGCCCCCCGGCCCTGAAAATGCCCCGATGTGCCCCCCGTGCCCGGCGGGGAGGAGGGCACCCCCTCCCCCGACAGGAACCCCCCCCCAAAAATCGTGTTTCGCAGCATCTCGGACCCTTCTCCTTGTCCTCTGTGCCCCCCCCGCGCCAGCCGGTGCCACCCCAGTGTCCCCAGCCGGGCCACCACACGTGGGCAGCTCGTGGGCACAGGGACAGCCCCCGGAGCCCCCAATTCCTGGGAATCCCCCCGGATTGTGCCAGGGGGACCACCCTCGTTTGGGGGGTGGCAGTGCCATCGGCCCCCACACACCATGAGGGTGAGTCCCCAGCACGGGGGGTGACCCCTGGCAGTGCCACCCCGTTCTGTGCCCACGACCGTGTCCTGGGGGGCTCATCCCAACTCCCTCCTTCACCCTGGGGGGTCCTGGGGGGAGCGCAGGGTCAGGAGCCCACGGGGTGGTATCGGGGGGGACACTGGTGGCAGTGCCAGGATGAGGACCCCACACACTGTGCCCAGGCTGGGACACTGGTGGTGGTGCCAAGATCAGGAGTCCAAGTGGTGGCATCAGGAGGGGACACCAGTGGCAGTGCCGAGATTAGGACCCCCCATACGCTGTGCCCAGGCTGGGACACCGCTGGCAGTGCCACCACCTCACCCTCCCTCCCACCCTGTGACAAGGGTGGGACACCGGTGGCAGTGCTGAGATCAGGACCCCCCACACCATGCCCAGAGTGGGACACTGATGGTAGTGCCAAGATCAGGACCCCCTACACCGTGCCAAGGCTGGGACACCAGTGGCAAGATCAGGACCCCACAAACTGTGCCCAGGATGGGACACTGCTGACAGTGCCACCCTCGGCAGTGCCACCACCTCACCCTCCCTGCCACCCTGTGACAAGGGTGGGACACCAGTGGCAGTGCCAAGATCAGGAGCCCAAGTGGTGGCATCAGGAGGGAACACCAGTGGCAGTGCCGAGATTAGGACCCCAACACTGTGATCAGGCTGGGACACTGGTGGCAGTGCCACCCTTGGCAATGCCACCACCTCACCCTCCCTCCCACACCGTGACAAGGGTGGGATACTGCTGGCAGTGCCACCACCTTGCCCTCCCTCCCACCCTGTGATGAGGGTGGGACGCTGGTGGTAGTGCCAAGAGCAGGAGCCAAAGTGGTGGCATCAGGAGGGGACACTGGTGACAGTGCCAAGATTACAACCCACCACACACTGTGCCCAGGCTGGGACACCACTGGCAGTGCCACCACTGGCAGTGCCACCCCCTCACCCTCCCTCCCACCCTGTGACCAGAATGGGACACCGGTGGCAGTGCCAAGATCAGGAGCCCAAGTGGTGGCATCAGGAGGGGACACGGGTAGCAGTGCCAAGATCAGGATGCCCCACACCGTGCCAAGGCTGGGACACCAGTGGCAAGATCAGGACCCCACGAACTATGCCCAGGGAGGGACACCACTGTCAGTGCCACCACCTCACCCTCCCTCCCACCCTGTGACAAGGGTGGGACACTGGCGTCAGTGCCAAGGTCAGGAGCCCCCACACTCAGTGGGGACTGCCCCCCAGGCAGTGCCACCCTCGGCAGTGCCACCCCGTCGCCCTCCCTGCCCCGAGAGCGAGCAGAGCGTGCCCGTCCCTGTGCCACACACACAGGGCTTTCCTGGGGTCCCGGGGCTTTATTGGGGTGCCGGGGCTGTCCCGGGGGGTCACGGGGGCTGCACGGCCACGGGGTACAGCAGGGCCATGTGCCGTGCCCCCCGCACGGGCAGTGCCCGGGCCGTGTAGTGCCGCACGGCCGCGGGCACCGACGGGAAGGCGGCGCCGGCGCGGCCCAGGGTGAAGTGCTGCTCCCGCGTCCTCGTGAGCTTCACGTGCACGAAGCCGTGGCTGCTCCTGGGATCCGGGATACAGGGAATGAGGGTGGGATCAGGGGATACAGGGAATGAGGGAG